TCATGGTCCTACTTCCTAGCCACTCCATGAGGTGCATTGCACAACAGGTCTCGCCACTCTGTCTTCTGTCAGGAAAGGTGCTTCGGTGCTGATGCTACCAGGAGCCAGATTCTCTACAGCTGAACCAACAGTCTCAGCACCCATATGCTGGTAACTCTACAGTCCCTCCTCATTATACAAAATCCCCACACATGGTCCATGTGTTCAACAGTCTATGCTTGGTCCCCAGTTTTTTCAGCTGACTGATAAATGTGTGCCGACCTGTCTGTAAGTCTCTCTTTCTCTTGTCCCAATAAGTACCAATCGAGAGAAAGATACCTGATGAATTGATAAAATTTCCTGAGAGCATAATTGAATTTGTGCTTGTGCTCAATCTCTTAGGGTTTTATTTAGGAGAGAGGTTTATTAGAATCTCCTTGTACTACATATTGTGGGGTAAGTCTCTGCAAAAGTATTAATATATACCTTTGTAACTCCTTTTTTCTCTATCTGATGCAAAAGATAACTGCATAAAAAAATAAAGCATGATATTAACTATAGAGGAACAAAATTTCTGTGCATTAGTGAAAATAAGCTAGGTTGTTACAAGAAATCATAATACCCAGTGCAGTCACTAAGAAAATATATATCAAAGGAAATGATAACGCAGTTAAAACAATACACATGTATTTTCAATATGATTAAAAAAATAAACTGTTGATTCAAATTATAAAGTGATTAAAAGCAAAGGATGAGAAAAGATACATGTAAACAGTAGTAAAAAGAGATGGAATGCTTATATAGACAATAATGAAAATTGCTAAGAATGATAAAAGAGTTTATATAGTGATTTGAGTTAACCTGTCAAGAAGAGAGCTATAAATTTATAAGTACTTAATAAAAGAGCCTCAGAATACAGAAGCAGAAATGGACAGACTTGAAGGGAGTAATAGGCAATTCAATAATTGCTGGGACTGTCAATACTCCACTTTTTTTTTTTTGTACAGAACCAGGGTACAGGCCAGAGATGCGGAGGGTGGGAGGATTCACCAGAGACAGAGTGAGGTACAGAACAGGCAGATCGACGAAGTACACTGCTGAGGGGAGCAGCGAGCGGTCAGGAGAGGTCTGCCGTGCCATGTGGTCACCTCTGGGGCAGGCGGGGATCGAACTCATGGGATGTGGTTTAAGTTTCTTTGTGCTGTGCTTTAACCTGCTGAGCCACCAGGGAGGGCCTCCACTTTTTTTTGTTTTAAGTTTTTTTTTTTTATGCATACAGAACTGGGGTACAGAGCAGAGGCTCCGGGATGGTGAGAGGATTCATCAGAGACAGTGGAGTGCAGAATAGACAGATCGACGACGAAGTACTCTGCTGAGAGGAACAGTGGCTGGGTCAGGAGAGGTCTGCCATGCCATGTGGGACACCTCCCTGGCCAGGGATCTAACTCGTGAAGTGGCTGCATCTAGCATCATAGTTGTGCTTTAACCTATATGTAAAATAGTTTATTTTTACACCATTTTGTGCATTTTTCATCTCAGTTGTACTCCTCGTGGGCTTCCCATCACCAAATCACCCTGTGCCATCACTGTAGTCCAGTGCATTTACCTATCCCACTGTTTTTGATCCCATTCCCCACTTGACCCCCATAAAATGTCTCTGGTCTATAGCTGTTCATTATTATTACTATTTTCTTGCCTGGTCTGTTATACTCCTGAAAGAAGCCATCTGGTATTTTTCCTTTTTTTTCTGGCATATATCACTAAGCATGATCTTCTCCAGCTCCATCCATGTTGCTGCAAAAGACATGTTTCTTTTTGTTGTTGCTGTTGCTTGCTGAGTAATATTCCACTGTGTATATGTACCACATCTTTTTAATCCAGTCACCCACTTTTGGGCATTTGGGCTGTTTCCATGTCTATCCGATTGTAAATAAGGCAGCAGTAAACATGGGGGTGCAGGTATCTTTTTGAATCAGTGTTTTTGTGTCTTTTGAGTAGATACCTAGGAATGGCATTGCTGGGTCATAGGGAAGTTCCATGTTTAGCAGTTTGATGAACCTCCAAACAGTTTTCCATAGTGGTTGTACTCATTTGCATTCCCACCAGCAGTGCAGGAGAATTCCTTTTTCTTCACATCCTCACAACAACATTTGTTGTTGTTAGTTTTTTTTTTTTTTTTAAAGATTTATTTATTTGTGCACATAGAACTGGTGTACAGGCCAGAGGCTCAGGAATAGCGAGAGGCTTCACCAGAGACAGGAGCAGAACAGGCAGATCAATGAAGTATACACTGCTGAGGGGAGCAGCGGGAGGGTCAGGAGAGGTCTGCCACACCATGTGGTCACCTCCGGGGCAGGCGGGGATTGAACTCATGTGGAAGTGGCTTTAGCTTCTCAGTGCTGTGCTTTAACCCCCTGTGCCACCAGGGAGGGCCTGTTGTTTTAAGATGTGCCATTCTCACTGGGATGAGGTGGTATCTCATTGTGATTTTAATTTGCATCTCCCTGATTACAAGTGATGTTGAACATTTTTTCATAAGCCTGGTGGCCAACCGCAATTCCCTCTTGAGAGAAGTGTCTTTTTAGCTCTTCTGCCCATTTTTTGATTGGGTTGTTTATTTTTGTTGAGTTTCATTAGTTCTTTGTATGTTTTTGTGATCAGTCCTGTATGGCTTGATGACAAAATTTTTTCCCACACAGTGGGATGTTTGCTTGTCTTTTGTAATGTCTTTTGCTGTACAGAAGCTCTGTAACTTGATGTAGTCCCATCTATTTATCCTTGCCTTCACTATCTTGCATTGGATGCTGTATGTTCAAAGATGTCACTAAAGAGTAGTGTTTGGCCCATTTTTGCTTCCAGGTATTTTATGGTTTCTGTTCTTATGTCTAGGTCTTTAATCCACTTCAAGCTGCTTTTTGTGTATGTGTGAGGTAGTAATCTAGTTTCATTTTTTTGCATGTATCTTTCCAGTTTTCCCAGCACCATTTGCTGAACAAAGTGTCTTTGTTCCATTGTATCTTCTTTGCTCCTTTGTCAAAGATTAGCTGTACATAAAGCTGTGGGTTTATATTTGAGTTTTCTATTAGAATCCACTGGTCTGTATGTTTGTTCTTGTTCCAGTACCATGAAGTTTTGATTATTATGGCTTTGTAGTATAGCTTGAAGTTTGGGATTGTAATGCCTCCATTCTCTTCTTAGTCATGAGAGTTTTGGCTATTCGAGGTTTTTTTGTTCCATATGAATCTCATCAATATTTTTTCTATTTCTTTGAAGAATGTCATTGAGACTTTATCGGGATGGTGTTAAATCTGTATATCGCTTTTGGTAGGATGGCCATTTTGATGATGTTAATTATCCTGATCCATGAGCAGGGGATTTCTTGCCATTTCATGGTGTCTTCTTGTATTTCTTTTAACAGTGTTTTGTAATTTTCTTTGTATATAACCTACTCCACTTTTAATAATGGATAGAACACATGCACTAATCATCCAGAACATAGACTTCAGCACTGTAAATCCAGTTTTACCTGACAGACATAAGTACATCATTCTACCCATAAAGAACAGAAGATTCATTCAAGTGCACATGTAACATTTTCTTGGATATACCATATCTTAGGCCCCCCAGAATGTCTCAGTAATCTTTGAAAGACTGGAATCATACAACGTATGAGCTCTGATCACAATGATAGAAATGATAGTTAAATATGAAAAGTTCACAAATATGTGAAAATTCAAACTAATTATTAAAAAGTCGTGAGAGGGCCCTCCCTGGTGGCGCAGCTGGTTAAAGTACAGCATTAAGAAGCTAAAGCCTGTTCTGCTCCCCACTCTGTCTCTGGTAAAGCCTCTCACCACCCCTGAGCCTCTGCTCTGTATTCCAGTTCTGTATGCATGAGTAAATAAGCCTTTAAAAAACAATACTGAAAAGTTTTAATCTGGTCATGTTTTGTTCATATACTTAAAAATTTAAGTTTCAATAGTCACAGTGACTGTTATAGTTACTGGAAATATGTGTTGTCTAGAATATGTTTTTTAGTATTTGACTACCAATTTTATGGTAATGGAAAAAAAGAGCAGGTCACAAAAAATTGTATTCAGTGTATGATTTTTACCCTCTTTATCAAAGTAACTTTTTGGTTATTTTATAGATTAATGCTTTTGGCTTATATTTCCCAAGGATAAGTTAGCTGACATTTAAAGACCCTTATGTATGCTCAGTGATATATGTGTGTGTGTATTTAATAAATAGCAAAAGTCACTAAATATTTTTCATAAGTGAGTTGCAAAGTATTGCCTGTTTGGTAACAGATTAAGTGTTGAGTGGAGTAATCCATAGCCTTCATAAAATATGCTATATCATTTACTGCTAGTAGTGGTGATTTAAAGGTCTTTCTTTAGTGGAATTATCAGAAAATGTGAAAAGTTCTAAGACCTTTAAAAAATATCCTGTCAGAGTTAGAATTCATAATATTTTATCCAGTTCATGCTTACTCATTAATTTGTTTTCATTCTGTTACTTCTGTTTTTAATTGCACTAATTTTTTTTTAAAGATTTATTTATTCATACAGAACTGGGGTACAGGCCAGAGGTGCGGAGGGTGAGAGGATTCACCAGGGACAGAGCGGGGAGCAGAACAGGCAGATCTACGAAGTACACTGCTGAAGGGAGCAGCAGGCGGGTCAGGAGAGGTCTGCCACGCCATGTGGTCACCTCCGGGGCAGTCGGGAATCTAACTCATGCGGAAGTGGCCTAAGCTTCTTTCTTAATGCTGGGCTTTAACCCGCTGAGCCACCAGGGAGGGCCTAATTGCAGTAATTTTAATAAGTTTCAGAAAAGTAGCAACATTCTGGTGGGGAAAATTTTAATTTTTTATTTTTGTTGATGTGATAAAAATAGCCTTTCAGAGGCAGACTTTCATAGCAAAGATTTTTTTTTATAGATTAGAGGTTCTTAATGTATTTTTAAAGGAATTTGTATGGAAATAAGTTAAACATGTGGTTCATGTTAATTTTTCTCAGGAGAAGGAAGCCAGCACCCTTTTGGAGCCATGAATATTGTAAGAACTCCATCGGTTGCTCAGATTGGAATTTCAGTAGAATTACTGGACAGCCTGGCTCAGCAAACACCTGTAGGCAATGCTGCTGTATCCTCAGTTGACTCATTCACTCAGGTATTTTAATGTGCATTTCATTATAAAAAAAATTACAAAAGTCATATTCTGTACTAAAATGGTGTTAGAAAACATGTAAAAATTAGGGAAAACACAAGTTGTTGGCTTCTAGGGATACTTTAGGTTTGCTTGAAGTCTAGATATATCTATATGTGATTGATAAGATCGTCTGATATCTACATGTGATTGGTTTTACAGTTATAAAGTAGCATAAAGTCATTTTTAAAAATGAGTTTAAATATTAACTTTTTTGTTTTCCCTTGCTAGGTTATGGGTATAGGTTGTGAACATGACAATGGGATCTTTGTCCTTACAGAGCTTGAAATGACTTAATTCCATAGATTTGACTTTTAAACTCTATGTGGTAAAGGCCTGAAAGGAAAAAATGATCATGTTAGAGCTATAGCTTACTGAAAAAGCCTTGAAGTAGAAATCTTATTTTTAGAAAATGACATGAAGGTCTTTGAGTAGAGTGAGTAAGGCTGAGAGAAAATGAGCTGGACATTATGTCTTCAAGGTAAATCAGATGGGACTGCATTTACTTTTTTTTTTTTTTTAAAGATTTATTTATTTGTACATACAGAACTGGGGTACAGGCCAGAGGCTCAGGGGCGGTGAGAGGCTTCACCAGAGACAGAGCGGGGAGCAGAACAGGCAGATCTATGAAGTAAACTGCTGAGGGGAGCAGTGGGCGGGCCAGGAGAGGTCTGCCACGCCATGTGGTCCACCTCCGGGGCAGGCGGGAATCGAACTCATGCGGAAGTGGCTTTAGCTTCTTAGTGCTGTGCTTTAACCCGCTGTGCCACCAGAGAGGGCCCTATTTTTTATTTTTTTACTCATTTTTTGGTCTAATATTTTAAATTGGTCACATTTGTAACTTTGGAGAGAAACTTCAGCAGGATGAAGATGGACAAAGAAAGATTAGGAGAGTTTTGTGAAAGTCCAGATGAAAGATGATGCTTTGAACTAAACATCTGAAAGGTCAAAGTGGAAGTGATGAAAAGTAGTTGATTTACGGAGATTATTTGAAGATAGATTTAATAGAGTTGGTGGCATGGATCACATGTGAAATGCAAGACAGACATCAATGTTGGCTCGATAAATGACGGTTTGAAGAACTGGAACACAGGAATATTATGAAAAGTTAAGTATGTGTTCCGAGTGGAATGAGATGTTGTATGTTTGGTTGTACTATATTTGTGATACTTGCTAGATAAATAAGCAGAGATGACAAGTTTAAGTTTTAAGGGAGAGGTCTGGTCAGAGATAAAAATGTTGGGAGCCATCAATGTAGAGTTGGTATTTCAAGTTGTAAGGGGTTGTGATCACTGGAGAAGTAACTAATAGAACAGTTGGCCAATGACTGAGTTTGTGACCATTTCTAACTAGAGACTGTTTTCTAACTGTAGAAATGAAGAAATATATATAAAAGAAGTGGCTTGAAAAGGAAGAGGTGTTTGGGAAACAAAGACTGCTTTTTAAGGAGGAGGATGTAATCAGTAATAGATGGTTCTAGTAAGGTTAGGGTTAAGAATTAACCATTTGATTTGGGAAGATGGAAATCATTACAGGGTGATGAGTTCAGAGAGGTTGAAAGGGAGTTTGGAGTGAGTTTGAGTGAATTAGTGGAGAAATCTGAAGTGGATGGCGCTTGATGATTGTTATGGAAAGACAGCCGATAAAGGGTTTGGTTGCTTGAGGCTACTTTACCTGGCAGGAAGAATTTTTTTGTTGTTGTTGTTTCCCTCCTGTTTTTAATGGATAAGAACATGTTTCACTGACACATTTTGAATGAAGCATTAAAAATAACATTGGCAATGCATGGGAACAGAAAGAATTATGGAAGTGTTGTCTTTTGAGTAGGAAATGAACATATATGGAGGAGTTCACTTAGGTAGGCTAATGGACAGAGGGTATGTGGATACAGATGAGGAGGTTGGAAAATGTGAGAATTTGTTTCAGTTCTCTTGATTCCTTGATTTTGCTCAGTGAATAAGAAACACTGTCATCAACTAAGACTGACAGAAAGAAGTATTAGGAATTTAAAAAATGTATTTCATAAGGCCTCATGGAGAGAAAGAGAGTGAATAGGGCTAGGGAAAACTTAGGGGTTTGCTGGGCAGCACACTTTTTGAGATTATGACCATGAATTTAAGGTAGACTTGTCACAGGAATTAAGACTGACAGATTCTGGGTCTTGATATTTTTTTCAGTAATATTTTAAAAAAAATTTATACATACAGAATCACAGGCCAGAGGTACAGGTGCAATGAGAGAATTTACTAGAGACAGAGCGAGGAGCAGAACAGGCAGATTGACAAAGTACACTGCTGAAGGAAGCAATTGGGTGAGACAGGAGAGGTCTGCTGTGCCATGTGGGTCACTATCCTGGCTGGGAATTGAACTCATGCTCAAGTGGCTGCCATTAGATTCATATAACTCATTATGCCACCAGGTAGGGCCCTTTTTTCAGTAATTTAAAAAAAGGAACTGCTGTGCTGAAAAAGGCAACTTTTTATATATTTTTACTCTTTTTTTTCCCTTACAGTTTGCTTTCTTTTCTTAGGTGTATTCCCCATAGAATTTCTACGGCCAATTCACCTATATACCATTACCCTAGTCACTTGTGTTTGCCTGCCCTTGTTTTTATCCCTTTCCTTCCTTTTTCCCTACGGAATGCCTTGATTTATAGTAGTCTGTTTATTTTTGTTTTGTTGTTGTTGTTATTTTTCTTTCTTTCCCTGTATTCCTCCTTTGAATGAAACCATCTGGTATTTTTATTTTTCCTTCTGATTTATTTCACTGAATATAATCCCTTTATGCTCCATCCGCATTGCTGCAAATGGCATTATTTTACGTTTTGATTGTTGAATAGTATTCCATTATGTATATATACTACATCTACTTGATCCAGCCCTCTTCCAAGTCTTAAACATTATAATAGTGCTATAGTAAATACAGGGTTCATGTTTCTGTTTGATCTACTGTTTTTGTGTCCTTTGGGTAGATCCCCATGACATGAATTGCTGGGTCATATTGTAGTTCACTTTTAGTAGGCCATACAGCTTTCCATAGTGGTTGGAACAATTTGCCTTTCCACCAGCAATGTAGGAGAGCTCCTTGTTGCTAGGAACATTTGTAGTTGCTGGTTTTTTTAATATGTACCACTCTTATGGGTGTAAGGTGGTATCTCATTGAGGTTTTAATTTGGATTTTCATGATTATGAGGGTTGTTGAACATTTTTTTCATGTGCCTGTTGTCCATTTGCATTTCCTCCTCGGAGAAGTATCTTTTTAGCTCTCCTGCCCACTTTTTGACTGGATTGTTTACTTTGTTTTTGTTCAGTCTTTTGAGTTCTTTGTGTATTTTATGGCTTCATTATCAAAGATGAAAAAACAAAATCCTTTCCTTTAAGATCTAAAATAAGACAATCATGTCCACTCTCACCACTGCTTTTGAATAATACTAGAAGTCCTAGCCAGAGCAATAAAACCAAAAAAAGACATACAGGGAATTCAAATAGGGAAAGAAGAAGTAAAACTATCCCTATTTGCAGACAATATATACGTAGAGAACCCTAAGGACTCCACAGAAAAACTAATCAGAATAATCAACCAGTTTAATAAAGTAGCAGGATACAAAATCAACACACATAAATCAGTAGCCTCCCTATCTACAAATGATTAGGCTGAAAGGAGAAATTTTTAAGAATTCCTTTTATAACTAAAAGAAAAAAATCAAATACTTGGGAATAAACCTAACAAAAGAGGTGATTGACCTATACAAACTATAAAACATTGTCAAAAGAAATAGAAGTCGATGCAAAGAAGTAGAAAGACATACCCTGCTCATGGACTGAAAGAATTAACATTATCAAAATGGCTAGCGTAGCAAAAGAAAATACAATGGAACAAAGAAACTTTGTTTAGCAAATGGTGCTGGGAAAACTGGGAAGCTACATGCAAAAAAATGAAACTAGATTACTACCTCACACCATACACAAAAATCATAGACATAAGACTGGAAACCAAAAAATACCTGGAAGCAAAGATGGGCCAGATATTATACAATGTACACTTCAGCAACATCTTTGAAGATAAAGCACCCAACTATAGTGAAGGCAAGGATAAATAGATGGGACTACATCAAGTTAAAGAGCTTCTGTGCAGCAAAAGAGACATTACAAAAGACAAACAGACATGCCACTGGAAAAAAATTTTCTCCCACAAAGCTAATGATAAAGGATTGATTGATCACAAAGATATACAAAGGACTGATGAAACTCAACAAAAATAAACAACCCCATCAAAAAATGGGCAGAAGAGCTAAAAAGACACTTCTCCAAAGAGGAAATGCAGACGGCCAACAAACATGAAAAAATGTTTAACATCACTGTAATCAGGGAGATGCAAATTAAAATCACAATGAGATACTACCTCATCCCAATGAGAATGGCACATCTTAAAACAACTAACAACAAATGTTGTTGTGAGGATGTGGAGGAAAAGGAACTCTCCTGCACTGCTGGTGGGAATGCAAACTAGTACAGCCACTATGGAAAATTGGAGGTTCGTCAAACTGCTAAACATGGAACTTCCATATGACCCAGCAATGCCACTCCTAGGTATCTATCCAAAAGACACAAAAACACTGATTCAAAAATATACCTGCACCCCAGGGTTTATTTGCTGCTTTATTTACAATTGGAAAGACATGGAAACAGACCAAATGCCCAAAAGTGGGTGACTAAAAAAGTGGGTAGATTAAAAAAGATGTGGTACATATACACAATGGAATATTACTCAGCAACCAAAATAAATAAATAAATAAATGAATAAACATATGCCTTTTGCAGCAACATGGATGGAGCTGGAAAAGATCATGTGTAGTGAAATAAGCCAGAAAGAAAAGGAAAAATACCAGATGGTTTCACTCATAGCAGGAGTATAATGACCAGGCGAGAAAGTAATAATAATGAGCAAGTATATACCAGAGACATTTTGTGGTTGTGGAATGGGGAATGGGATCAAAAATGGGAGTTCTAGCTGAGATGAAAAAGAAAATGCACAAAATGATGTAAAAATAAATTCTTATATTATTTTTAAAAAATGTTAAACAACCCTCATAATCAGGAAAATGCAAATTAGAACCACAATGATATACCACCTAACACCTGTAAGAATGGCACATATTGGCTATAGGCTTGTCATAAATGGCCTTCATTATGTTACAGTATGTTCCATCTCTCCTGAGAATTTGTGGGCCTTTATCATCTTTATCATAAATGGATGTTGAGCTCTGTCATATGCTTTTTCAGCATCTGTTGATAGGATTGTATGGTTTTTCTTTTTCTTTTAGTTGATGTGTTGGATTACATTAGTTGCTTTTGGGTATTGAACTTATGGTTGTGTCCCTGGAATAAATCCTACTTGGTCATGGTGAATTATTTTTTGGTGCACTGTTGGATACTGTTGGCTAGCACTTCATTGAGGATTTTTGAATCAGTGTTCATTAGAAAGATTGGCCTGTAGTTTTCTTTTTGTGTGTTGCTCTTGTTCGGTTTTGGTGTTAGTATAATACTGGCTTAAAACATTTGCTAGTTTGGTAATATCCCTTTGTTTCTAATTTTTTTAAAAGAGTTTGTGTAGGACAGTCACTAGTTAGTTTCTGAGTGTTGGTAGAATCCATCTGAAAATGTCCTTGAACCTTGATAGAAATTATGTTAAATCTTTGTTGCTTTGAGTAAGAGTTATTTTAACAATGACTGTCCAATTCATGAGAAGAGAACATATCTTTCCATTTCTTTGTGTGTTCATCTATTTCTTTTAGTAATGTCTTACAGTTTTCATTGGATAGGTCCTTCACCTCTTGTGCTTAGTGTACTGAAAAGAACATTGAATTCTTTTTTTGTTATGGAATTGTAATGTGAGTGGGATTGTTTTCTTGATTTCTTTCTCTTCTAGCTTAGGTTTTCTTGTGTGCATTATCATGTCATCTGAAAACAATGATAATTTTAACATCTTTTCCAATTTGTTCCTTTTATATCGTCCTCTTGCTTGATTGTGCTAGGTGGGACTTTCAGTACTATTTTTGAATATTATTGGTGAAAGTAGACATCCTTTTCTTATAGCAGATCTCAGAGGAAAAAGATTCAGTCTTTCATGATTGAGTGTGATGTTGTTTGTGGGTTTGTAATAAATGGCCTTTTCCATTCCTACACTTTGTTGAGATTTATCATAAATGGATGAGGACTCCTACCAAATGCTTTCTTAGCATCTGTTGTTATTATCAGATGTTTTTTTATCTTTCCTTTTGTTGATGTGGTGAATTACATTGATTGATTGAAGATGATAGACCTATCCTGTATCTCTGTAATAAATCCCATGAGGTTACAACCTGTGATATTTTTGACATTTTGTTGAATTTCAGTTTACTAAATATTTATTAGGAATTTTTGCATTTTAGTTCATGAGGGTTATTGGCTTATAATTTTTTTGGTGTGATGTCTTTGTAATGTTTCAGTATCAGTGATGTTGAACTCATAGAATGTGTTTGGAAGCATTCCTTCTTTCCCATATTTTTGGAGGAGTTTGAATTTGATAGGTATTCATTCATCTTTGAATACTTGGTAGAACTCATTACTTAAAATATCTTGGCCTACGCTTTATTTTTCCAGAAGACCTTCACTACTCTTTAAGTTTCCCAGTTTGTGATTGTTTTGTTCAGGTTTTCTGCTTCATTCTGGTTTAGCCTCAGAGGATTGTAGGTTTCTAAGAATTTGTCCATTTCATCAAGGTTGAAGAATTTGCTGGCACATAGATGTTCGCTTATGACCCTCTGTATTTCTGAAATGTCTGCTGTAATGTCTCTATTTTGGGTTCTTACTCTATTAGAATTTTCTCCATAATAACTTTTAGTAGCTAAATGTTTAACTATATTGTTGATTTAAAGAAAAACAGCCTTTGGTTTTATCAAGCCAACTATCTTTTATTTTTATTTTATTTATGTTCTGGTTCTTAATATTTCCTTTCTTATATTGGCTTTTGGTTTTTAATTTTTTTCCCTAGTACTTTGATGTAAAACATAATATTTTTAAAATTTTAGCACTTTTTTGTTTCTTGATAGAGGTCTGTAGTGCTCTACACTTCCTCTCAGTACTTCCTTTGCTTTGTTCCAGAGGTTCTGATAGGTTGTGTCTTCATGTATTTTTTTTTTTATTTAAAATTTTATTTTTTTAAAGATTTATTTATTTGTGCATACAGAACTGGGGTATACGCCAGAGGCTCAGGGTCGGTGAGAGGCTTCACCAGAGATAGAGTGGGGAGCAGAACAGGCAGATCGATGAAGTACACTGCTGAGGGGAGCAGCTGGCGGGTCAGGAGAGGTCTGCCACACTCTGTGGTCACCTCCAGGGCAGGTGGGAATCGAACTCATGCGGAAGCGGCTTTAGATTCTCAGTGCTGTGCTTTAACCCGCTGCGCCACCAGGGAGGGCCTTCATGTATATTTTTTTTTTTTTATTTTTTTAAAGATTTATTTATTTGTGCATACAGAACTGGGGTATACGCCAGAGGCTCAGGGTCGGTGAGAGGCTTCACCAGAGATAGAGTGGGGAGCAGAACAGGCAGATCGATGAAGTACACTGCTGAGGGGAGCAGCTGGCGGGTCAGGAGAGGTCTGCCGCGCCATGTGGTCACCTCTGGGGCAGGCAGGAGTCGAACTCATGTGGAAGCCGTCTTAGATTCTCAGTGCTGTGCTTTAACCCGCTGCGCCACCAGGGAGGGCCTTCATGTATATTTTTAACCTTTGTCTTTTTCATTTATCCAATAGTCATTCAGGAATGTGTTGTTCAGTATCCATGTATTAGAGTTTTCTTCTGCTTTCTTTTTATGGTTGAGTTCTATTTTAACACTATTGATAATACAATATTCTTGGTATTATAATAATTGTGAATTTATTGATCCTTATCTTGTGACCCAGCATGTTGTCTATGTTGGAAAACATTCCTTATACACTTGAGAAGATATATGTGTACTCAGCTTTTTGTGGATGTAGTGTGCTATAAATGCCTTTAAGCTCATTTTAGGCAATGTTTTCATGATGATTTTCTGTCTCATTGATCTGCCTCTGGTAAAAGTGGGATGCTGAAATATTCTACTGCTACTGTCTACTACCATATTTGATAATAGTTCCCTTTTAACTTTTAATGGTCTTTAATTTTGCAATATATGTAGATATATATCTAGAATATATATGTTATATATATATATGTATATAGAGATGAGTGTTATATCTTCTTGATATATTTTTTCCTGAGATTTTATTTACTTTGCATAGAGGAACTGGGGTACAGGCCAAAGGTGTGCAGGGTGAGAGGATTCACCAGGGACAGTGGGGAGCAGAACAGATGGGTCCACTGAAATACATGCTGAGGAGAGCTGTAGGCAAGACAGGAGAGGTCTGCTGTGCCATATTGGCTAGCTGGTTGGCTGGAGATGAAACTGATGCTGCAGTGGCTATAGATATTCATATTGCTGAGACTTAAACATTGCACCACTAGGGTCTTTTTTGAATTGATCTTCTTAAAGTATATATTTATACTTTATATATTTATAAATATAAAATATTTATAAATAATAAATTTATTTAATATTTATTAAATATAAGAAAGTTGCATTTAAATACTGATTTTTTTTTTACCCTCAGTATTTGTTATTTAGTTGTGATTTTACTGCATTTTGGTATTAGTTCAAATAACCTTGACAGTGATTTGTTTGGATTAAATTTCCATGATATTATTTAACAAAATTAAAAACCCTTAATGTTTCTTTTTGTGTGAAAAGACATAAGTATTGTTTTATATTACTGAGAAAGTGATGTTGTAAAGATTAGTTTTGAGTGTATTGAAGTCAGTACTATCTTTAGTAGCTTATTTACTTTTATAACTGATGGCAAGTAACAAGTTGCTCCTTTATTAATTTTTTTCCTTTTATCTAGAAAAAGACTTCTACATAGAAAGTTACTATTTTGTCTTTTTTATATTTAACTTCTTTATATATGTATATATTTTATATCAGGTGTAAAAAATGGCTACTATTTTGAATAGTAGTTGTTGATTGAGTTGAGGGTGGCTAAGAGATTCAAATATATAGAGTTAGCAGCTGTTATATTAGTGAAGATTGCTATGAATTTGTGCCACAATGTCATTTTATGCTTTCCTTTAACTTTCATCATTATACTGTTTTAGAATTCACAGTCCTTAAAACCAAGTTAATGCAAGAACATTTTTTATTTTATTTTCTTATATCATTATTCTCCCTTCAGGTCTAGTTCTTGCAGTTCTCCTACCACCATAGCACCTGTGAACCATCACCCTTGTGTGCTTCTCTCCCCTCTTTTTGACACCTCTTTCTGCAAATACCTCCCCCCAACCCCACTGTTTGCTTCAAATCTGTGGTCAGCTTGCAAGTGTTATCTTTTTCCCTTGTGGGAACATTGTAAATTAAAAATGTTAAGACCTAAATGGAGTATATAGTTTAACCATTAATAATTCATTATTGACTTTTCAGTTCACACAAAAGATGCTGGACAACTTCTACAATTTTGCTTCATCATTTGCTGTTTCTCAGGCTCAGATGACACCAAGTCCATCTGAAATGTTCATTCCGGCAAATGTGGTTCTGAAATGGTATGGAACATTTTGTATCTGTAATATTAATACTTCTTAGCAACCATATATATATATCTTACTTGTAAATATCTATTTTTTAACATTTAAAATATTATTTTATTGCTGACTCAGCATACATTAACATTTGCATTCCATTGAAAAGCATGTACTATAGATTGAGTTCAGACTAGGAGTGGTTCTTACTTTAAATATTCTGCTGCATAGTAACTATTTTAAATTTATAAAGAAAGGAAAATAAAATTATATTTTAGGGACTATAATTAAGGACTAAATTTTTTTTTGCATATTTAAGTTTAATTATAGGAGGATTTGAAGTAGCAACCAAAGGCCCTTTTTCATTAAGTTTAGAAAGTTTTGATCTAAGTTTAACATGTATAGGCATTAGGGTGTTTTGCATTGTGCATGAATTATTAATAAATCTGTTTACCTGTTTCTGGCTTTTCATGTCTAGTTGCAAAATACACAAAGAGCTTGTTGAGAATTGGTAGCATGGTGTAGCAGGGATGTGATGTTCTAGGTTTGAATTTTGTTACACTATACTATGTGACTTTGAGCAAGTTACTGTCATCTATTCATCTATGATGAAAAAAGAAGAGTTACATTTTATTTTATTTTTTTCTTAGATTTCTTCTAGCTCTCAGATTTGCAGAATATACATGATAAATTTATTATGATTTATGTTCTATAATGCAAGCCAGTCATGCTTAAATCTCTTCTGCTTTCTTTTTTTTTATAAGAATAAACTTCCAGATTAACTTTTTAGGTTTTTTGAAATTTATGAAAGTTTATTTTAATTTTCTTACACATGTGTTTTCTGTTATAGGTATGAAAACTTTCAAAGACGACTAGCACAGAACCCTCTCTTTTGGAAAACATAATTTGAATAAAATAATTTTTAATGGATTCTGAAATTTGTCGTGTTTTGAAGATAAATGACTCCATGTAAAGTACAAAGTCAGATGGATCGTGAAGCTTAAGTTTAAAGATTAAAATCTTTATGAAAAATTTAAAATACTGAATAATGAAAATATGTTCCTTATTAGCAACTTTTTCTCCCTTAAGCATAAAATATTATGCAGAAGCATAATATTTTCTTTTGAATATGATTCATTTTTTACTTAGTGTATTATATACAACATTTTTACAGTAAAAGTATGCCAAGTACCATTGCGTTTATAATCTTTGATTTACTTTTACATTTGCTTACTAGAGCTTAACTTAAAATCAAGCATGTCAAAAATTGGGGGTAGTTTTTGAAAGATACACCGAATAGGCATTTTTATGTGTGGGTAAAACTATTTTCAGTTAGTGTTTTTTAAGGTTACAAGTTCTTTCAATGAACAGAGTTCAGCTGTCAGTTTCCGTATCTGCAAATATATGCATTTAAATTTGTTTTGTTAAATTGCCATGATTAACACTGATGAAGTTATATATAACACTGGCAGGACTGCTAGCATTAGTGTGTAGAATATAGGATCCATTACTTTGTGTATGAAGATAAAGCTATTATTAGGGAACCATTTGATGTAATTTTGTTGGTGAACACTTATTGACCGAAAACCACTAGGACCTCACCTGTAACAACTCTAGGATTGTTACAGCAATCTAGGATTCTGCAGCAATGGTGTATGTATACCAGGTAGCCCCTAGTTAGAGTACATATAGGAGTATGGAGTTTTGGTTCACCTTGATGATCCAAATCTAGGGATTGATATAGTTTGGAAATTAGATTGTTAGTGGTACAGTCAGTGACTTAAGAGCATGTGAATTTATCAGAATTATTGTTGATTCAGTTTGTGGACTTACCTTAAAATAGACATCAGATTCAACTGGTGTTAAGAATTTAAACATATGTGACTTATTGCATTGTCAAAGTTTTGTAGGCTTATGACTTCTGTAAATTGTATATTTTTGCAAATTATGGTTTCACTTTTAATGCTCAGTTCTCCTTTTCTGGTCTTTACTGAGTTTAACCTGAAGGTTAGATCACTTATCTTATGGTGTGATTAATCCAGATTTGTATTGTTATTTAATGGCTTATTATTGTGTATCAAGTAGTTTTTAGTATGTGTCATGCTAAATCACTGCTTTTCTTTTTTTAATTTTATTTTTGGAAGATTATATGCACTAAGTTATTCAGTGGTAGTTAAAAGCCTCAGGTCCTTAACCATTAATAACAGTTCATTATTGTTGAATTACATGACTGGAGAGTCCCAATAGCATTTAAGATTCTGGACAAAAAGCATCAACTAACTGTAATAAGATAACTAGAATCAGAATGAGAAAAATGGTTTTTCTTATATTAGAATATAAAGAAGAACCTAATTTATCAAAACCAAGTAGCAAAAGAACAACAGCTAGGAAAAAGAAAGAACTCCAGCTGGGTCTATCCTAAAGTAGGTCTATCCTAAAGTAGAGTCAAATAACTTAGCTTTTAGAAAAGAGACTGTTCTATCTGTACAGTGATTTTTATAGAGGTACAAGAAGAAGCTGTTAACTAAATCCATACTGCCCTTGGCTTGAAAATAAAAGACTCTTAATTGTTGATGACAATTTTGGGGAAGGAATTTGTTTTCTTCACATTTTTCTTTATTGAGCTAACATTGGTTTATGGCACTATCCATGATTTGGGGGACTAGTTTCACACCCTCTCACATGTATGTTAACATAACACTCCTACCATAAAACACAGTCCTTTACCCTAGAACACTGGGCCTCCCTTGTTCCCACAATAATCCTTTCCCTCTCTAGCGCCTTTAATTTTGCAGTCATATATCTAGAGTTTGTTTTGGTTTAGTAATTAATTCTTTTGTGTGTGTGTTTTCCCCTCTATATTCCACATATGAGTAAAATCACCTGATGTTTTCTTCTGACTTATTTCATGTAGCATTATCCCTTTCAGCTTCATTTATGTAGTCACAAATGACAAGAGTGTATCTTTTTATAACAATAATATTCCACTGTGTATAGACATTAAAGCACAGTTTATTTTTTTTTAAGACTTATTTATTTATGCATACAGAACTAGGGTACAGGCCAGAAGTGCAGGGGTGGTGAGAGGATTCACCAGAGTCAGAGTGGGGAGCAGAACAGGCAGATCGACAAAGTACACTGCTGAGTCTAACAGTGGGCAGGATAGAAGAGGTCTGTGCCATGTGATCACCTCTGAGGCAGGGTGTCAAAACTTTCACTGAAGCATCTGTGGCTCAGTTGCAGTGCTGTGCTTTAACCAGCTGTGGCAGCAGGGAGGCCTCAGGATATACTTTCTTAGATCATGCACCTGCCCATCTGCTTTCAATGGACATTCCAGTAGCTCATTTATCATTTTTAATACTGTTATTTTGAAGTCTTTATTGATAGTTCCTCTATTTCTGTATCCTTTATATTTGCCCTGGGATTCTTACAGGGCCACCCATTGGGTTGCCTGTCTGGGGTCCTCACATGTGCACTTAATACTCAACCATACTGCAGACACACACAGAAAGTTTAATAATGGGTTTATTTACAAGGGAAAAAAGGGAAAGGACAATCCAAGGAAAGAGAGAGAGATGCAAGTTAACTAAAGCATCATACCAGTTCCACTGACCTGGAACCACAATAGCATGCTGAAAGCTGATCAAGAGCCAAGCGACCAGCCACCAGCCATGAGGCCAAGAGAGAGAGAGACCCTCAGCCCAACATATCCAGTTTTGTATCAAGAAACCCCAAATGGCTGCTTAACTCTGCCCTCAGGTCCTAGCAGTTCTCCCTTTGGTGTTGCTGGGATTTGTAGTTTTGGTGTCTGGGGTGGGGGTGCAGTCCACAAAACCTGCATCTGTAGAGTTCAGGACATCCTTTCCCCCAACAGGAATTCTGTTCTCATTTTGCTTTCCCATCTTATATTCAGATGCATGTGCGTGGCATATGTTTAGCATTATTTTCAAGTTGTGTGTAGTACTGGGCATTTAGTTTTGCTTGTTTCTCTTAGTTTACCTTGGCATGAGGTGGGGTCAGAGGAGAGCCTGGGATTAATACTTGATCTCAGTTTAAGGAGTCCAATACCTCTGCATTTGTTCCACAGTGGCCCTTGTGAGTAGCAGCATTGGAAGTGGCACAGGATGAGGGAAAGATAACTCAAAGTCCCCATCCAAAGGCAATCTCGGATTTATTAGTACAAAGATGGGCAAGTACACAGGAAGTGTACGTGCCTGAGGGGTGTGTTATCTAGGATGTAAACTAGAGTGGAGTAACCAGAGTTTGGGGCTCCATTGTTCCTGTTTGTCAAAGCATATTATCTCTATTCTAATATCTGCCTACTGTTTTCAGCAGATACTGGTTTCCCAGTATGTTCTTCATACCAGGACTTTTGCCCTTGGTGAGAGGCACCCTGCATGACCCTACATCTAGCTGGCAAGCAGAAACTTGGCATCTAGACAATATCCCCAAGAAAAAGCTGTGTCTGTGCTTAGCTTCTTTAAACTTCCCACTTGCCTTTTTGATGCTTATTTCTCCAAGGACTGTGATCAATGAAGTTTATCTTTGATGGGAGGAGCTAGGTCTGGAATGCCAGGCTAATGTTCCTGGACCTATTTGCATTTGGCCAGAAGGCAAATGTGTGTTGGGCAGATGTGTGAATTTTCATTTGGCTTCTCACCTGTCCCTGCCTTTTGCTGCAACATCTGAAGGGCTTCATTATCTTTGTGCTGTTTACTTTCCCACAATATTTATGAGTTACAAGTCTCTTATGCTCTTGGGCTTTTTATGGAGCCTGGCTTATTTGGCTTCTCTTTGATCTCTTCTGTCATGGTAGAAGGAAGGGGTTTTTTGGTACCCACATTGATCCACACTCCCTATTTTCTGGGTCTGTGTCTACAGAGTTTACAGTATCCCACTTTGGGTTTGTACCTACTTGTAAGTCAGCAGAATTCCTCCAGTGTCTTTCACAATGTCCAGGTTGTTCCCATCATCTTGGGTCAGCCCAGTCAAGCTCCCCTTCACTTCCTCTCCTTCCCCTCAGTGGCCACCAACCTTAATTTGATATCTCCATGGGGAAGTGTCTAGATAGCACAAAGCATATAGATCTTCCTTGAGCAAATATTTTTCATAGTTGTTTTTAAGGTACAGGGTTATTCCGACCTCTGTTCTGCGATGATGCAGGTGGAATGTCTGTAAAATGGCCATTCTGTCAATGTTAATCTTCAAATCTAAGAAATATAGTATATCTCCATGTCCTGAATCTTTTCATTTGTTTAGTTATATCTTAAAATTTTCACTGAATAAGTCTTTTACCTCCTTTGTTAAGTATTTAATACTTCAACAAGACATCTTAACATTTCTGTTATGCCTGGATTTAGGAAAGGCAAAATCAGAGGCTTATCAGAGACAAAATATTAACAAAGTGAAAAATATACAAATGGGAAAAATAGTCTCAATATGTATTTAGTGTACTAGGTATAACATAGAAAAATGGTAACACCATTTGCCATCTTTGCCTAGTGAATCTACTGAAAAAAATATTTCTAAGTAATTTAGTTGTAGATATATACTGATGAAAATATATTAGGAAATATAAGAGCATAAGCAACTTCATTAGAATTTTAAATAGAAAAAGAAAAGAATTTTAAATAGAAAATAGTGAACCCAAATATATGTTCCATGTTTCCATAGTATTGATATTTGTACCTGATAAGGTTATTGTCTTCTAAATATTATTAACTGCACTCGTTTTTATGTATGAAACTGAAATATATCCATCTTGTAAATGCTGATTTTAGATTTCAAATACATCTATAATACTTCTATTATGTCATTATGTTCTGGTTTTTGTCTGCATCATCAAAGTACAACACTTCAGTCTTACTGAAGATAGGACAGCTATCTTTCTTGTTCAGTAATTATAAGACATTTTTTAGATTTATAGCTGCCATTAAAAATATCAAACTTTTCAATTTCTGAATTCCATAACTTGTGTACACACCCACTTGCAGTATTTAGCTGTTTTTTAATGTTTTGAGATAATATTTATATACTAACAATTTCATTCAAAGTCTACAATGTTTCAAGTATATTAAGAAATTTGAGCAGCCCTCATCATCATCTTATTTTAGAACATTTTTACACCCATTAGTAGTTATCACTAAGCCTGTAACACACCGCCCAATAGTCCTAGTCAAATACTAATCTAC